CTCTCTCTCTCTCTCTCTCTCTCTCTCTCTCTCTCTCTCTCTCTCTCTCTCACACACACACACACACACACACACACACACACACACACACATTTACTCAATAGTATATACTAAGTTTTGTTTTTCTATGTGTGTACACATTCAAGCAAACACCAGGGAGGAAAATGTTTCCCTTTCCGCTGGCGTCCCCTGAGGGTTAGGACACAACGATATCTATGTACAAGGCATCACTGAACATGATGAGTGAATCTAGAAAAGATACAGAGAGCGGTAGATAGGAGCACAGGGAAGTGAGAGGGGGTATTATCTTATAATATTTCTGTAGTGAGAGGGTAAGGGTCTTCCAAACGGGAATGTGAGCTACACGGAGCAGGTGGGAAGGCGGAGCTTGCAGGATCCCCAGGAGGGGGCATTCATCTATCTTGTTGATCAGGAGTAGGCTGAGACTCCCTGGAGGTGTGAGGGACAGTCTGTATCTTTTTTTTTTTTTAATTATTATTTTTATTTGGAGGCCAATCCTAATGAATCTTTTCCAACCTGGCTTAAGCTGTAAAACCTCTTTGTGTCTTTCTTCTCCAGAAATCATTTTCTTACCCAGCGCCCATCTAGGAAGGTGAGAGGACTTGTTTGAAGACAAGGCATTAGGGATTTATCAGCTACATGGACATGTTACTCTCCGAAGTGGTGGCTTGGCTACTTGTCATATAATCTGAATAATTGCTCCCGTGGTGGTAGTGCTCCCTTGATGGACAGAGAAAGAAACAAATACATGGCTCACTTGAAATTTTGTGTCTCTGCTGGTCACAGTTCACACCTGTGCCGTCCTCACGGGGACTCACAGAGCTGCTGAGTTGTGGTTGTCTCTGTGCTGAGCAGACAGCACACATCCCCTAAGCAGCCAAGTGCCTCCCAGGAAGCAAGGCCAACCTACCATTAAATCAATTGCCTGACAAAGCCAAGTTCAGAAATGTTTCACTGGGCAAAGTCTGGGGCTCTGAAACTAGCAAGGCCTGCCAGTGGCCCTGTCCTTTTCTTCCTTCCTTTCTCTTCTCACTCCAGCTAGCAAAACTCGTCAACTGGAAGTAAAACCGAACGTCTCCCATTCCACTGGGTTGACATGGATTTTGAAAAGTGGAAATAATATAGAAATTCTTAGTGTCCACTTGGCTGGTCTGGAACTTGTGGCAATCCTCCAGCTTCTTCCGCCTGAACGCTGGTATTATACGTACCATCACATCCAGCCTAGAGTTCTCTCTCTCTCTCTCTCTCTCTCTCTCTCTCTCTCTCTCTCTCTCTCTCTCTCTCATGTGTTACATATACATAATGGAGTACTACTCAGCAGAGAAAAACAATGACAGCATGAAATCTGCAGGCAAATGGATGGAACTAGAAAATATCATCCTGAGTGAGGTGACCCAGACCCAGAAAGACAAACATGGTGTGTACTCACTTATAAGTGGATACTAGATATAAAGCAAAGAACAATCAAACTGTAACCCACAGGACCAGGGAAGCTACCTAGCAGGGGGGACCCTAGGATGACTGTGACTTATAATAAGTTTTGGTTTTATTCAATCACTGGGCAAGCATCAGTGAAACATTTCACTATTAGGATAAGAATTTGTACTGTATCAAGCTGATGATAGAAAATAAAATAAAATAAAATAAAGATTTATTTATTTATGTTTATAAGTGTTTTATCTGCATGTACACGTTTATGCCAGAAGAGGGCATCAGATCCCACTATATATAGTTGGAAGCCACTATGTGGTTGGTGGGAATTGAACTCAGGACCTCTGGAAGAGCAGTCAGTGCTCTTAACTGCTGAGTCATCTTTTTGGAAATCACTCTGTAGCCCAGGTTGGCCTCGAACTCACAGAGATCCGCCTGCCTCTGCCTCCTGAGTGCTGGGATTAACAGCACCTGGCTTTCTTTCTTCCTTTCTTCCTTCCTTTCTTTCTTTCTTTCTTTTTTTTTAGTTATGGTTCTTAAACTTGACTGACATTTTGTAGAGAGGCTGGGAAAAAACACTCAGACAGATTTCTGAACAGGGTAGAAATTCCCAATATTACTACAAATAAAGGAAGGAAAGTATGATTCAAGTGATACTAGATATAAAGAAAAGGGGGGGAACCCTAGGATGACGTCATGTGGAATAAATATTATTTTAAGGTGTGTTACATTTGTTTATGCTGTGAAACATTTGTTTAATGATGTAAAGATGTGTTGCATTCTTTTTTTTTTTTT